CGGCGCGGGTCATCGGGACGCTGCTGGGTAAGAGCCGCCGCCCTGCCCTGCCCTGCCCTGCCCGCCGCAGCCTCGGGGGCAGCGCTCGCTCTCCCCGCGGTGCCCCCTTAGCCGCTGCCCTCCCTCTCTCCCCCCGCAGGGACCGTGGACAAGCACTCGGTGGAGGTCACCAACTGCTTCTCCGTCCCGCACAACGAGTCCGAGGATGAGGTACGGAGGCGGCCCGGGTGGAGCGGGGGATCTCAATACCCGCTGCTGGTATTGCCCTCCGGGCTAAGCACCCTGTAACCCGCTGTCTCGACACTCTCCCCTTTATCAGGTGGCTGTGGATATGGAATTTGCCAAAAACATGTATGAGTTGCACAAGAAGGTGTCTCCTAGCGAGATTATCTTGGGCTGGTAAGTTTTCCTTCTGCTGGAACCTGGAAGTAGTTCTGTTGATTCCTTAAACTACTTTAAGTACATAATTCCCTTTATCACAGATGGAGAAACAGAAGCACTAATGTCTGTGACATTCATATCTTGCAACTCTTGTTACACAGTCAGTGGTTAAACTCCTGCAGCTCATGAAAAGAAGAGACATATTGGAGACATAAAAGGATTTGGTTTTATGTCTAGCAAGGTATCACACAGGAGTGATGTGTTAGAGAATGCACATACAGCTTTGTTAGAAGAACGTACTACCTGTAATACAACCTGAACCATGGAAGTTCACTGGTTAGAAAGAAAGGAGAATACAAAAGAGGCTTTTAATGTATCAAAGGCATCAGGAAGGAATCGCTGATACCAGCTTGTGTACTTAGTTCTCTGCTGGGAGTACATGTGTGTGGGATGTGAAGCAAGATGAGTACAGTGTTATGGGAACAGAGTCTGTGTCTGGGTGTGTGGCACGGTGTGTTTATTACTCTTTTTACTCACCTCTGATCCTACAAAATGGCTTCATTTTCTTCCTCTTGAGCAAGCTTCCTCAACAGCTTTTTAATGGCACAGCAGAGTGCATTTCCAGTGACAAGAGTTTCCCTGAGGATGAGAGATGCTAATTGTAGAGCAGTTAAAGGAGCTAGATTAACGAGTTAGACCTCCTGCAGAGGAATGTGTGATTTATGAAGACAAAATTTGTCCAAGTTTGTTTGGTTTGGTTTGACTTGCATAGATGGAAAAAGCTGCTCTAGAACACAGTAACAGGTAACTGAATATTGGGTGTCTGATGTCAATTTACTGATGTTTTATGGCTGGTACTACAACACTGTCCCTGTGCATATTTTGGGTGTGGGTGTGCTCAGCTTGTGATTCCTACAATTTTAGGGACAAGTGGCCATAAACTAAAAAAAATCTTTAGTTTAAAGACTTATGTTTAGTATGCTGCTACGGCTCAGTGTTTGGAAATTGGTGTTTTAGGATACAGATCTGTTAAATACCAACAATACAAAACACTGGGCGCTTGAATGTTGGAAGAATGGTTCTTCAACGTGTGTTCTTTTGAAGGTATGCAACAGGTCATGACATCACGGAGCACTCAGTCCTGATCCATGAGTATTACAGCCGGGAAGCACACAATCCTATCCACCTCACTGTGGACACAAGTCTCCAGAATTCACGCATGAGCATTAAAGCCTATGTCAGGTACTCTGGGAGGCTGCATTTCTGGGAGGGGATTACTGGGAGAGGCCCTATTAGGATAACAAGAAATGTAGTGGGGTTCAGTGTCCTTTTTTGGACAGTATTGTGCAGTAGTTGAACATTAGTGGTGAGCCAGGGATCATGGCTTACTTCTCATTGGAATGCCTTGACATTTGTATGTAGGCTGAAAGACTTCATTAACTGGAATCTCATTGGGGGTGGGGAGTTGTGACTTAATTTACAATTTTCAGAACATCTTTGCGACATTTCACATGGGTCACACAGCTAGCAGTAATGTCAGTAACTTCCATCACGCTGACTGAATGGCCTGTAGCCATAGGGCTTTATTGCTCAGCAGTGCATCTATACAGGTCAGAGGATTAGTGTGGTTAAAACAACTCAAACAGCATTTTCTTGATGGGTGTTTCTTCCACTTATCCCCCCCATCATTCTTATCAGTTAACAATGGAGATTAATTATTGAGAAATTAAACTTCCACTTCACTGAATTCCTCCTATTGTTGGCTGAAGAGCTTTGCTCTGTAAGGAAAAAACCCTTTTCTTTGTAGAGAAAGTACTGTTTCTTGACTGTGCATCTTTAAAATGGGAGCTGTTCCATGACATTACTTAAAGCATAAATGGACGTCAAGTACTTTGAAGGTATAATAAAGTACTTTGAATAGGTATAATAAAGGTGTTGAGAGTGCTTTGTAGTTGAATTTTGTCATACTGCTTGTTGTTTCAGTCATTTCTTAAAGCATGAAGTATTTCAGGATAGAAGAGCACCTTCTCTAAAAGCAAGAAGGAACTTTGGCTAAGATGATAGTACTTAGTTCTTCATACACTCATGCTGATGTCAAACCAGCTAGGAGTATTCTTGGACAAAAAAGAACAATTAATGGCATGCCAGAACTGATTTCCTGTCCTCAATTATCCTTGGGTCTTAAAATTGCTGATTTTGGTGAGAATGAGTAACATACTGGTGTTCACACTTTAGTGTTAACAGACATCATTGAGATGGAAATCTCCTCCTTCCTCCCTTATATATGTCCATGCTGAAAATGTTTTGTTGTTCTCTTTTTTTTTTCTAGTGCCCCAATGGGAGTCCCTGGTAAAACTATGGGCGTGATGTTCACACCCCTAACAGTGAAATATGTTTATTATGATACAGAACGGATAGGAGGTGAATACTTTCTTCCTATTTTGTTTATAACCATTGTGACAATGTTAAAATACTTCTTTTACCCTGGTAAAACTGCTATTCTGGGAATTTTACTGCTAAGCAGACTGTCTTGCTGAAGCTGACCTAACAAATCTTCAGCAAGGGTTTAAACTGGTTTCTGTGGCAGTGAGATTTTTTTCACTGATCCTCCTTTTGCTTTCAGTGGATCTTATCATGAAGACCTGCTTTAGCCCCAATCGAGTGATTGGCTTGTCCAGTGACTTGCAGCAGGTGGGGTCAGCCTCAGCCAGGATCCAGGATACCCTGACCATGGTGCTGCAGTATGCTGAGGATGTGTTGGTAAGGCCAGCTTTTTATCAGCCAGGAAAGAAAAACTCTGATGTTAACTTGTGCATCTTGGTTCTCTCTTTATTATTTCTCTTTCTGGGCCACAAACTTTGAGTTCCACTTATGCTGAAGTGTGTGTTTCTTATGCTTAGTCTGGCAAAGTGGCTGCTGACAACACTGTTGGGCGCTTCCTGATGGATCTTATTAACCAGGTGCCAAAGATTTCACCAGAGGACTTTGAGACCATGTTGAACAGCAATATCAATGTAAGATCATAATTAAATTTTTCTGTGCCTTGCTAGCAATTTTGAAAATTTGTCACACAGACACAAATTTGTGATGTATCTTTTCACACAAACATGCTAATAGCAATATACAGCTTTTTATTTTCAGTAATTTGGTGTTTTAAGGGCTGAGGGTGGATAAAGAAACTCACCATAATCATGCAAGCAATTGCAGATAAAAGTATTAATTTTTAAGGACTTAGGAATTTTGCAAGTCATCTGAAAACAAGTACTAATTATTTCATATTGATTGGAAAATATGAATTACCAAACGTAAATAACTTTTGTTTCAATGATAACTGGTCACTTGCCAGATTCTTTTGCCTGAGTTGGAGTTCTGTCCCTTTTCATAATACTTATGCAAATACTATGCTCGTAATACATGAACAAGGTTGTAGCATGCTACCTTACTTCTGTAACAGATTTTTAGAAAACTTAAGTTTCTAAGTGTGTTGTTCACCCACAGTCTATAAGACCAGGACTAATTTTTAATTTTGCTTATACCCTTTGACTTGTCTGGTTAACATGGGTGAACTCAGAGTTAAAATTTTACAAGCAGTGTTTCATATTCCAGGAATACCAAAAGCTTCCTGCAAGGGAAGCATTCCTCAGGGTAGGACATTCAGGACTAACAATATTTTTTGTAGCTGGTTGTAAAGTGTTTTACAGTTGTTAAAAATTCAGCTCTCTAATAAGCTATGATTTGTTAATATTTCTGATCACTGTTTTTTCCCTTCCCTCTCAGGACCTGCTGATGGTAACCTACTTGGCAAATCTCACACAGTCACAGATTGCCCTCAACGAAAAACTTCTGAGTTTATAAAGAAACTTTTGCCACCCTACACTTCAAGGAGCGTGAAGAATGAAAAGATACACTTTTCTGTGGTGTTAGAAATTTCCTTGGACTGTAATTTAATTACCTACATGACTTGGTTTACATTTCCATTGCTCTGAAAAATCCCTAACATGCTTTAGGAAATGAATGGGAACGGCTGTAGTTCCATTGAGCCTGGTATTTTAAAATGGAATATGAAAATCTTTTTGTCTCCTGGATTTGTCTACTTGTATAACAAAATACAGCTTTATTGTAAGAATGTATTTGGAATAAAAGTTCCATTGCAGTGGCAACAATGGCTTCTGTCCAGAAAAAAAACTTTCTCATTTATTGTATAATGAATCCTTTTGAAAGGGGGAGGGTAAGATTGCATCAGGAAAGAAAGAACGGCTGTGAGTGAACTCCAGTTCTATGCAGGTTTTTTTTTTCCAGCTGTTAAATCATATTGAAAGTGTGGGTATTTGTGTTGTATATAATATACTTTACCCTGAAGGACTGCAGAATGGTCTCTGGTTTATTAGTGGTGCTGTGTATATCCCTTCAGCAGGGTACTGACAGACTACGAGACAGTAATTCAGTTTATGGTATCGCTTCTGTGAATGAAATTCTTTTCTGATTGTTTGGGAAAGGAAGTCAAGGTTGACAGCATTAGCCCCTCATAAAGGGGGAGTGGAGAGAAAAGCCAGCAGCTGAGTTCATGGTAAAAAGAGTTTGAAAAACATTTGTGGCTAAACAACCTTGGATACTGGAGTTTCCATCTTTGCCAAAGAAAAAAAAGACAGCAAAATGACAATCCATGAGATTTGAGGTTAAAAGTTGGGTGTTGCCAAATAGGAATTTTCTATTTCATTACACTGTACTGCTGCTAAAATGATGTGAAGAGAAACGCCATTTTCTCCCCAAGACATGTTTCATGTTAACTGAGTTCCAGCTGGAAGCCAACACAAATATAAGATGTAACTGTCTCTACCAATAACATTCCCTTCAGAAGGCTATCCTACAATTCGGCTGTGATGAGGGGGTACTTTAACAAAGTTAAAGCATCCCTCTCCTACAACAAAACTGTTCCCACCTTAAAAAAAAGGAGTTCCGACCTCACTAATCTAGTATCTAGTTTGGTGAATGAATTTGAAATTGAAGTAGGCAAAGAAAGTGCTCCCCAAAATAATTCTGGTCATTTGCCAACTAAATCCAAGAATAAGACTCAGATTACAAATCTATAGATCCTGTATTGGTTGTTCCAATCTAGAGAGTTCCCCCAGTGACTCAATGCTAAATTCTAAGTCCTAATTGCAAGGTCAATGTATGTGAAAACTGAAAGTCCAGCATAGATCCTCATCTCATTGAAAATGTTATTTGTGAACTTTAAGTAAGTATTAGAACTCAACTCTGGTTTTTAATTAGTCTGAATAAAAATGCTTTGCTTTCCTTTCTCTTCTTTAAATGTAATATTCTTAAATTCAGCCATTTAATGTTTCAAAATTTTCAGATTAAGGGGCTTTTTGAAGAATGTTTTGACATGAATGGAGGAAAAGAGGAAGCTACAAAGGTGGATAAGTCTCTTAATTACTGCAAAGAAGTTGTAGGGAGGGAAGCAAAATATTCTTTCCCTGATCTCTCTGCAGGAAACTTTTTGCCATTTCCTGTTTGGAATAGAGAGAAAACATAAAAAGAAAGCTATTCAGCTTTTAAAGTGTTAAAAATCTATGTTGTTTTATAAGCTGGTGTGCACAAACTGCCAAGTTCCAAGAACAGTTTGTAATCATTGTGGAATTTGCCAGTCCTTGCAAGTACCTGAAGACTAATGAAGATATGTGATACGGGACTGAGGTTCTATCTTCCTAGGTAGAAAGATTCACTGCAAAGCAGAGGTGTGTCTTAAGTGACAAAAATCCATGCATTTAGGCCTTTGCAAGACAAGACATTGCCAAATGCTTGGAAGAGGAGCAGGAAAAGAGTTTTCTTTTTAAAAACTGTGTGTGATGCCATTCTGTCCATGGTGATCTGTACTTTGACTCCAGAGTTTTGAATGTCTGATTTCAAATTTCAGTGACAACTTCTACAAAGGACAACATGGCACATGGCACAGAAGTGTAATGCATCATTTTGCTTAATTGTAAAGCCTGAGCTGTGCTGTTACCTAGAAGGCATTCCTTCTCTAGAGTTGTAAAATGCTGACAGGAATTACTAAAGGCATTGTTCCACTCTACAGCACTCTGTCTAAAAATTTAAAGTTCAATAGAAAACCTGGTGGGAAAAGCATGAGAGTCAAGAAATACCACCAAGGATTTCAAGCTTTAACTCTGTATTGATTTGTAAATGGCAAGAATTTATTAAAGAACTTTCTCCTTTTTTTTTTTGTTTGCTTGTTTCTTCAGAATGTGTTGCTGCAAATAATTGACAAGTTAGATTATTCTCTGGTATCCTTCTGTATATTTTATTTAGTCATATTAGTGATCTCACTTATACAATAAAAAACTTCCATCCTCTGTGATGCATTCAGCATTTTCTTTTCCTAGATGACTTCTCTGAATGAGTATAAATTCATGGACATTACTGCATTACATTTATTTGTGGCAGAGTGCATATTTTCCTGGTAAATATTAGGCTTTAGAATACCTTGTTCAAACAACTTTTTTACCAGCTGCCAGCATTCAAGTATTTAATGGCTTAAAAGATGTAAATTATTAAGAATGTTAAAATGTTTAACAGCTTTAGATTTTTTTTTTTTAATCCTGGCTTAGTTGAGCTCATCTTGGGTTTTTACCTCAGCATGAAGTTCTTGAACAGTTCTTCTCCTCAATATACATAATAATATTCAGAACAGAGTTCAATGTTACAATTGAATGTATCAAATCCATCCATTTTATCAAAATTAATACAGGATAAATAAATATTTATAATTTATATTTATGAAATGCCTTAGTCAAAATTCAGGAGGAAGTGGTAATGGTCCACTATTTTTTAACCAATGAGACTCAGCAGAAAAAGGTTCTATATTGTTGGAATAACAAACCTTATTTTGTCATCTGCAATTTGAAACTTAAATCCTTGCTGCTAGGATAGCAACTTCATTTGATAATTATTTCCATGTACTGGGATGAAGGTCACTAAATTTGCCTTTTTAGTTGAGTCACTTCAATCTCTTGGCAGAGCACTTAGACCTGCTGCAAAGAGGAGGCAGTGTTTTGGTGTGTAATTTTGTGAACCTGTGGACAGATGCCACCTATACCTGAAATTCACGAGTTTAATCCTAAGGATTAAAAGCTCGATGTGAAAATGTTAGACACGCAACACTTCTAGAGCAGTTAAGCAGAACAAGTTGCTGTTCTCCTGTGCTTTGAGGAAGTGCGAAGCTTCAATTTCCTCACAATGGAACTAGAGACTGTTTGGCAGCTCAGCTGTAAGGGCTGTGCGAAACCCTGATGCTCAGAGCAGGCGGGTGGAGCTCTGACATGACTCACTGGGCAGTGACTCCCTTGAGCAGCTAAGCAAACACATGGCTCCTCCTGAAATGAGCTGAACTCGCTCAGCTCCCTGCACACAGGGGAGGTTAACGCAACACCTTACTGGGACTATGCATTTTAATAACTGCAGTCACAAGGCAGTCTAACAGGAGAAGTGTTTTTAGTACATAATGTAGACTTAGACCACTGCAGCATCCTGTGAGTTTGTTACACTTTGACCTATGGTTCAAAGCTGACCAGTTCTTCCAACAAACTTGGGAAAAGCTTTTCTTTTTAACTTAACTATATTGGCTGGAGTAGAACACCAAAAGTAAGACTTTATATTACTTAAGTGGGAAACACTGTTCCCACCAGGACACATAGAACAGAGAAGCAGAAATGCTTTAGCCACCCACATCAACAACAATAAATTCCTCTGGAATTTTTGAAAAAAAACCAAACAAGTTTTGTTTCAGCTCTTTTGACAGCACTCAGCACAACAATGTAGTTGAGCCAAGTCACTCCAGACCAGACTTCTATTCAGTACCATGTCTTAGGATCAGATGCAAGAATATTACAAAAGAGAAGAACAAAAATTTGTCTCTCCATTAAACTTGAATTTTCTAATAGCAAGAAGCTGCTTTGACTCTGCATGGGTTTTTAGAAGCTTTTCTAAATGTGTGGGCTCTAGTAACAAGCCAAGGGATTGCCCTAAATACAGACAGTGAAATTAGATGACCACAATAGTCCCATTGCACCCTTTAAAAAAGTACTTCCATATATTCTCGTTGATACATAAACATTCAATGCATTTAAGATTCTTCAGACACATGTAATTTTGTTAAAAACATTCTCTTCTTCCTCTTACACTTGTTTTTAAAACAAATTGTTCTTGAGTAGCTCAAATCAAAACAGTCCACTAAATGAAAAAGATAAAGAATTGTGTATTTTATAAATGTACTTGGTTCCCATGGAAACAAGGATTAAAATATATACCTGTCCTGAAAGAAATTTGCTTAACAAGTGAAATAAAGTAGACATGCACTTGGAATGTAGCTGAAGAATTCTGTGAGGATTAAATTCTTAAAGCCACTCCTCATGTGTTCTGGGCAAACAAGAGAGGACTAGCCCAATTTTCCTGGATAGGTAACGTATTAGATTTATGTGGCTTTAGGTGCTCATTTGAAGAAAGCAAGCATGGTAAATTATTACCCAACTATCTTCTGCTGCCTGCACTTCACACTGCTTTACAGACTAATAGAACAGTTGTTATTTCATCTAGAGCTGTACCAGGTTATAGGAAACAACCAAAGCTGTTTGCATTGGAATGGTCTCTAAACTGCTAACATGTTTGCCATAAACAAAAAAGAGGATATTTTGAATAACCTCAAGTAACTGGTGCATAGTATCATAGGTGAATCCTTCATAAATTGTATCTTGTTTGTTAGAATGTCTTATGAATAACCATAGGTAAAGGGAGGACTATGTGTGTGTAATGTCTATTCAAAACATAATATGAATAAACAGGCAGAAACAAAACAGTGAGCATACTCTCCATAATTACATACAAATAACTATAATTAAGATTTCTTTCTAGAAAAATGTATGTAGTAGTCAGTCAATCTTACCTTTATGTCCTCTTGGGACCTAGATCCTGGTCTTCAGTAACTACAGCAAAAGGAGCAGCTCCTCCAACTCCATGCACTTAGGTCTTTTATATTCTTGGCCTGTCACATGCAGTTCTGGTGGCCTGGGTGACTTGATGGACTCCTTACAGCTACTGAACTATGATCTTGATCTAAAGACTCATGTGTTACTGGATCACAGACTTAGAACTACACTCATTAGGACTGAACTCCATTGCAGTGATGCTACAGGGCAATTGCAGCCTGGACCTTTCTCTCGCTTTCCTAGGGGGTGGCAAAGGGCTCCCGTGGGATAGCATCTCCGGGCTCTTCCTGTGTGACCGCTTCCCCTGACACAGCTCCACTGCCGAGAGGCTCTGCGTTTGTGGCACTTGCGCCTGTGAGCTTACCTCTGTCCGTCCCGAGGGACAGCCGGGCATCTCACAGCTTTCCTTCAGCGAGACTTGGCCAACCCGCCCAGACAGCAAAGGGTTCTGTGTTGGCAGGGCCGTCACCACCGGCACCGGGCGCGGTGTCCCTGCCCGGGGAGCGCGGCCCGTGGGCCGGGCGGGGCGGGCTCGGT